GGACGCAAACGAGCACATATAGGCGATCGGCCGGCTATGGACCCGCTGATCGCCTATATGTGAAACACCCGGTACCGGGTGTTCGCTTTGGACGGGTCTTTTCTGCCCGTGCGTGCCCGCTAGGGGGCGCGCGCGAGCAGAAAAAAAATGCCGTCTGGCGTCGGCAACCCGCCAATGCAGCAGTGATGTCCGTCCGTTTTTCTACTACGGACGGCAAGAGGTTAAAGTGTGTGAACCTTAACAGTGACTTCTATTTATCAGGCCTTTTTATTCTATTATATATATACCATTGTAAGAGTTTTGTTCTGTTTGTACTTTCAATAAGTGCAGCTAATATCCATTGGTCCTGCAAGGAATACAATGAGCATTCACTTCCTGTGCAGCTCTGAATGAAATATAAAGCTGAATTCCAGGACAAATAAATATTATCTAAATAGAAGAGTCATGTGTATTTTTATTTATATCTTGATATGCTTTGTGTATTTCTTCTAGATCTGTGTTTTCTGTGCAGGAGCTGCCTGTAACAAGGACTGGTCACTGCTGTTCTCTCTCCTTGTGCAAGATGACTGGTCTTGTACACTACAGGCTTCCTGCAGAAAACTACAGGAGGGGGTGGTCCTGTAGTGTAATATCTCTTTATAAACATGGAGTGCTCCAAGAGCAGTTGCGAAAAGGCCCAAAGGGCCACACAATGGCATCTGCGCTTAAAGCAGAACTCCAGTTAAAACATCTATTTACCCCAACAGTATTGTTGTCAGATTTGGCTTTTTTTTTTTTTTTTACTTGTTTGTGTCATACCAATACAAACAAAAGAAATAAACATGATAAAGCCTAAACATTTGTAATTGTAACAATTTTCTGCGCACAGTGGTGCATTATGGAGGGGTGCCAATATTTTTGCCCATGACTGTGCATTAAGTTTCGTGGGCCAAATGGCTCAGATTTTTTTTCTTTTCTGTTTATAAATACACCTCATTAAGTGGCTGTGTGTATCATCAAAGGCTTGCTCAACATGAATGTGTGTTTATAGTCCACAACATTATTTGCTAAACAATTGAATATTTGAATAGTCTATGTAATCATTTTTTTTATGATATAGGATATGATGTACTGTTTATACAATCTGAAGAAGATAGAGAAGCAAGGATGTTGACTGTGCTGAAGTTTTTGCCTGGGAAGTTCTCCAGCTCCCATTATGTGTACACAGAGGTAAGTGTTGATCTGCACAGTCTGCATGGCATTAATATATCTACCATTTACCATAAAAGTATTCTGCTCTCATTGGTCATTTTATGTATGTTAGCTCTGTATATTATAAAACCCAACTCCACCTTTCCAAGCTTCCCACACACTACCCTACACTATACTATTGTAAAAAAAATCCCAAAATATCTTTTTCCAACTATCCTCTGGCGGGTCACATGATGTCCCCGGGGTTCTTCCTTTTCTCTTCCAGCAGAGGCACTTGGTGGTTGTAAATGCCGCAGAGAATGGCGTTAATGCTATGATGTCAGCACCGTTCTATGCAGCATTGTTCTGAGATGACATGCTTAGGAGAAGCGGACCCGCACAGCAACAGACATTTTAGATTTCTGTATTAGTAGACATGGACACACCATAAAATGTATCAACAAAATCACACAAAAATGCAGCACTCCAAAAATGTAATAGCAATAATATATATATAAAATCAAATTTTTAACCAGCGCAGACAAACCACAGTCTCTTCAACTTTTCTTCTGATGATTATGTGATCAGTACTTATGATTATGTGACATTCTTATATGTAAAAATTAGGGATGTCCCGATGCCCCTTTTTCAGGCCCAAGTACAAGTACTTCCCCTCATGTACTTGCCGATACCAATTACCGATACTTTTTTTTAAAGGGACAGGTGACTTTAAATGATCCATAGTACAACTACATGTTATGTACTATGGATCATGATTTAACCTATTCATGTTAGCAGAGGATAATTGTACATCTATTGCTGTAGTGGAGCTGTGTGCTGTATATATGTACTGCATATACAGTACACATGTCCAGTACACTATAGCAATAGATTTACAGCCAGCCCCATCCCAGCTTCCCTCACTCACAGTTTCACTCCGATCCCGGTTGCCTCACGTGGTGCCTCTCGTAGTCGGCGCTGGGCAGGATCGCTGCATCGCGTCTCGGCGCTCATCTTGTGGGAGGCGCTCACAATTCTGCCCTGCTAACATGAATAGGTTAAATCATGATCCATAATACATATACAGCACATATGTCCAGTACACTGCAGTAATAGAGTTACAATTATCCCCTGCTAACATGAATAGGTTAAATGATCCGTAGTACATAACATGTAGTTGCACTACGGATCCTTTAACCCATTCATGTTAGCAGGGGATCATTGTAAATCTATTACTGCAGTGTACAGGACATGTGTACAGATAGAATGCAATGCAGCAATAGATATACAATTCTGCACTGCTAACATGAATGGGTTAAATGATCCATAGTACAACTACATATTATGTACTACGGATCATTTAACCCATTCATATTAGCAGGGGATAATTGTAAGTCTATTGTTGCAGTGCATACTATACATAGTACATATAGAGTGCACTGCAACAATAGATTTACAATTATACTCTGCTAACATGAATGGGTTAAATGATCCATAGCACTGGGCTACATATGGACAATTTAATCCATTCATGTTAGCAGAGTATAGTCTCCAGTGTATAAGCAGTGTGTACTCATATATATTACATATAGGGTACACACTGCAATACAATGGAGACAATAGATGTGTAGATGTGCAATTAGCCCCTGCTTAATAGTGAGTCCCCCCCAGCCTACTTACTGTGCGGGAGAGCAGCGACGATGTCCTTCAGTGCCAGAGAGAAGCGGTGAGTCAGTGCTGGTCCGGTGGGAGGAGTTCCAGGTAGGGTCCTAATTTAGCTGGCCCAGAGGTGCCTGCCAGCTAAATTAGGACCCCACCTGGAATTCCTCCTGCCGGACCAGCGCTGACTCGGCGGTGCTCTCCGGCACTGAAGGACATCGTCGGCGAAGAGGAGCATGGCGTAGCTGCTGCTCCGGTGGGCGGAGCTCCAGGTGGAGTCCTCTGGGCAGTCGCCGGCCACCTACATTAGGACCCCACAGCAGTGACGCGAGGCTCCTCTGCTCAGCCTGCCCAGGGGACCCCACCACGGAAGGTAAAGTAGAAAAAAACAGTGCAAGCTTCGGCGCTAGGCATCGGGGCATTTTGACAAGTACAAGTACTTGTCAAAATGCCCTGTATCGGGCCCGATTTCCGATGCTAGCATCGGTATCGGGACATCCCTAGTAAAAATCCTTGCAGGTGTTAAAATCAAACTCCCGCGTGTGAAGTGTATCTTGTGCGCATATTAAAACCACTGCTCACCTTCTTTGTGGGATTGATACTAAAATAATTTAATATGGCCAACAACACTTTGTCTCTTGCCTTCAAGGATTAATAATCTTTTCTCACAATCCCAGATGAGGTCTCATTAGTGCTCACAGAAAAATAAGATGATACATAACATAACTCTGTTTCACTTTATTAAAAGGAGAATGATGGGAAAGTGAAATACACTCCATAATTAGAGTCGAGGTGTGACCCTGAAGCTGTTACACGTCGGTTCTATTGATTGTCAATTAAGCGATCACATATTGCCAATCGCTCAGTTCTCGATCTTCTCTCTGCATAGAGGGGTGACTGTCAGTCATCGCTCCCCGCAGGGATTGCCCGCTCCCCTCTCCGTTCCTCCAGCACTAGAGGCAGACCCAGCTGTCAGTCAGGCTGCGGGGTGGATCCCGACAAAAGTGTCGGGATCAGTCAGGGCTGCAACGTGACTTTGCGCTGTCAGCATATAGAGGGCAATAGCCCACTATATGCTGAGTTTTGGGTCACAGGAGGACATTAGTATATGTGCTCCTGTAACCCTAAAGAGAACTATGATAAACAAAAAAAAAGGTTGGGCCATAGTTCTCTTTTAAAACCTATAATAAAAAACTACCCACATATAAAACATGTTAAAACATCCTCTTATGTTCGAGCATCAAGAAGGGCATAAAAATTCCTCCCAGGTCCGGAATAAGTATGTTCCAAAAAAGTATACCCAAAACATAAACCCGATGGCACACCATATGTATTCACTCCACTCCCTGTAGCCTGCAGGCTTCCTCGTTCCTTCTCCTGTAGCATGGTCAAGCTCGCCCCTACGCTTTACGTCTACTAGACTTTGTCAGGGGTTTGGAGCTTGATGGAAGATACAGCCTTTTCTTTTACATTAGCATGTTCGGCTCCCATGGTAACCTGATTGACTAAGTATTCTATGTTCAGTTTCTATCTTCAGCTTTTCGCTGAGGCAGACAAGTCAAAAAGATTATACAATGTTAGTGAATGGAAACAAGCCGTTTGAGGGACAAATGGTTGTTAGCCATAATAAATTATTTCCAGCAAAGAATGATTAACTGGCAACTTTATACTGAAAGGGACCCTTTCTGGTTTTGCATGAGGACAAAGTGGTGTTGACTCCCAGGACATCTTTCTTCTGTTCCTCTATCCTTTTCCAGTCCAACAAAAATAAATTTCCCTCAAATGTCTGGATGTGGTTCAGCCATCTCTAAGGCACAGTTTCTTTCAGGAAGACTGATCCCGTTTTTTCTATTCCCAGATGAACCCCATAAGGGTGCTTCTCATTTCAACATCTCTAGGTGGCTCAGATGGACCATCATCTAAGTCAGTGGACTGAAAACATCGGGTTCCAACCTTTCCTGTTAAGGCGCACGCTTCTAAATCTGTGAATGCTTTTTGGGATTTTCAGTATCTAGCATGTTTGCCAGATTTACACAGCTGCCACCTGGTCTTTGGTTCACACTAGTTCTACTAGTGATGCCAGCTACAAGCATAAGGTCTTTCAGGCAGCACTTTGAGGTGCAGGCAGTCCCCAGTTCTCTGTTATTTTCTGGGGCCTGTTTTTCTGTGTGGCCCACACCTTAGTTGAGCTGCTTTTGGACATGCCATAAGTTAATGACTTCCTGTGTCCCTCAGGGGATGAGAGAAAGAAGGGATTAGCCTGGGTTGGCCTACTGTTTTTCTTTTTCTAGTTTCCAATCCCCTTGTGGGTGGCAGTATAAATTAAAGGTTAAAAATAATGTTACGGCGAATACAAAAGTCATACTTCTGCTGATATATTCACCATCAATGCAGAGATTTTCCCTACAGTACTTTTTTTTTCTGCTGCCAGATGTCCTCAATCTGTTGACCAGTATCATTCAACCTACTTCATCTGAACCCAGATTTTTTTGGACCCACCTCCCATGATGTGACTGGATAGTGAAAGGAGAAGCAGCGCAGTGATAATCTCATCTCTCTATTCCTCTGCTCTTTTCTCCTGTCAACATGCTTCTTGTCAGCACATGAACTGCTTGGATCTATGTAATACTTCTTCCTCTAACACACCAGTCATGCTGTACAGAGACTATAAGAGGCTGATACAAGGTCAGATTCAGTTGCTTACACTACTTGCAAGTTAAAAATACATATACTGATGTGGTAATTATTACAGAGCTACATTAATGTGTATTTTTATATCTGTTAGGAGTTCAGTTTTAAATGATCTGATCTGGTCCCTTGCTTCTACATCCAAATTTATATATGGGGCCTGAATGGCTTGATGATCTATAGCGGTTGTGTGCAATATGTATGCAAGTCATATAAAATGTTTGACTCCTCTTGCTTTCTTACACAGTGTGTACAATGCTGCAAAAGACAACTCATCCTTCATAGACAAGAAAAACCTCACAATGTCCATGTCAGAAACTATAGCATGCCAGCAGGTATCATTTTACTATTATGACTTGTGTTTTATATTGTTTACCTGATTAAAGTTTAGACTATTTGAAATGCTCTTATTTTGTTTGTATTAAAGAGGAACTCGGCTAAAAACTGTTTGCATTCAGACTGAACCCCTAACAAAATCCTAAAGTATCAAAACAAGTCAAAAAAGATATCGCTGTGACCTTATTCAATAAAATAGGTGCAAGAAGCACAGTGCCAACTGCAGTGCCTTTAGCAACCAATAAGGCTATGCCTTTTACTGTTCTGCCTATAGTAAAGTCAATTCTGATTGTAGTGGGTTTGGCTTAGCGATATCTACTTGAGCAAGGGTCCCCACAACTCTCATTTGTGTAAATGCAAAGGAAAACTGTGCTGAAAGAAAAATGGAGGTGCTTTTGCCAACCTCAATATGCTAGTTACCTGGTTGTTATCCTTATCCAATGGCTTTAGGGCTTTCTGAGCCATTGATCCATATAAGTATGTATGTCAAGAGTTTTTGTTACATTTTTTTCCTCACTGGCTGCATAGATTTTCATGGTCCGTGACTCCCAAAGTATTCAGGTTGGGTCATCTAGCATTTTAAGTGAACAGAAGCAGATGAGATTTCTAACCGGATCAACAGGGTTGTTTAATCACTTTCACCATGAGCACCATTGAAATTGTCAGGATAGAATTTTAATTGTGACCATTTTGTGTATGATGCTGTTGTTTGGACATTATCTTATAACCATCACTCTGATAGAGACTGGTCTGAATGCTTCAGTGCTAAACATTACAGCGTACTATAAAAACACATAACATTTAAATAGGTATTTTCCACCATATGTTCCATTTTAAATTGCTTACGTTCTGACAGGTTTGTTTGCTTGCTGACCTGCTTTTTAAAATTAAAGGTTCGTTGTCTGAACACTATGCTAACCTGCTGATAATACTTAGTCACTCATTTGGTACAAGTTTGCATAACTGGAATGTTGGAGAAAAGGTAGAAATCCTGATGTGAATACTTGTTCCAGGACAGTGACTAATTACTAAGGTAAGACGGTCAGCATGGCAGCTGCTACAGGTTTCATTTAATAAAAATATCCTATAATCAATTCACTCAAGGTTATTTTTTTCTTGTTCATCCTTACTGGTAGTGTAATACATTTTAATAATTGTGATAGCCCTTCTTAGATGCAATTGATTTTAATGTAGTTTTATTTTTCCAGGTGACATCAAGTCTCTGCGGAGCATCATCAGTCCTCCAACATCCAAGTAAGTCTTATTTGGGTGTCATATAAAAAGGAATGCATTATTTTGGCTTTAAAAAATGACCCACTAGCAATACAATGCATGTAAGCATAAAAATTACAGAGAATATACAATATTGAACTTTGTTCCCATTACTGTAAAGAAGACTCTGATAAGTAATTGGCATCTGATAGGTAATTGGCATCAGTAGAAAATATAGAAATATTAAAGCATGTCTAAACCCCAAACTAGGGATGTCCCGATACCCATACCAGTATCGTATTGGTGCCCATACAGGGTATTTTCACAAGTACTTGTGAAAATGCCCCGATACAAATATCGCAGATACTGTCACTTTTAAGTTTTAAATAGTCAGCTGCCCGAGGTCCCGCGCTTGCTGCTCATTTCTCCTTTCTCCTCCTCTATTCCGGCATCCACAGAGACAGGCACAGCAAAGGACAGCCCCACACCACCATACAGCTCTAAAGCTCGGCATGAGCATGGCACCCACCCGCAGAGCCTGGCACACACCCGCCCAGAGAGCCCAGCACCCACGTGCCGCCCTGGTGAGACCTGCATCCACATGCCGCCCTGGTGAGGCCTGCACCCACATGCCGCCCTGGTGAGGCCTGCACCCCCATGCAACCCTGGTGAGGCCTGCACCCCCATGCAGCCCTGGTGAGGCCTGCACCCCCATGCAGCCCTGGTGAGGCCTGCACCCCCATGCAGCCCTGGTGAGGCCTGCAGCCCTGGTGAGGCCTGCACCTCCATGCATGAGAGTTTTGAAAATTCCCTTTCAGTACTTTAATATTGAGGTTGGGGATGGAGTGATCCTTCTGGGAGAAGTGATATCCCACTGGGGTGCAATATTCATTTTCTTTGATCTCTTGATCGAGCTCCTGTGTAGGTTCATCCTGAGCTGCAGCTTAAGGCCAGTTTCCCCAATGTAACAACCTTTGTCACATGCTGAACACTGTATCATATACACCACGTTGGCAGATGCGCACAAGTATGATCCCTAATGGTGTATGTTTTGTTATTGTGACTCGCTGTATTTCTGTCACATATATGTTGGCAAAGTTTGCAGCGGGGTTTATTGCATTGTACTGTGCCATTCTGTGTAAGTGCCTGTTCTGGGGTCAGCTTACTGCGTACCAATCTTCTTCTCAGGTTCAGTGGTTGCTTGAAAGCCAGTATTGGGGGCTGAGGGAATATTTCTTGAAGTATGGGGTCTTCTGAGAGTACTGGCTGTAGGCCTTTGATGATTTTGCGTATTACCTCTAGAGTATGGTTGTAGGTAACTACAAGAGGGGTCCTGGTTGGGTTTTTCTTCTCTTTGTACTGTAGGAGTCTTTCCCGTGGTGTTCTTAGGGCAGATTACATTTTTCTACAAATAGTCTTTTCCCTGTAGCATCAGCCAGTGTGCTCAGGTGTTTGTCTCGGTCCTCAGTGTATCGGATTGCTTGGCTGTAGATGACACCCTGCTTAGTGTGATTTGGATGGAAGCTGGAATTATGGAGGTAGCTGTACCTGTCTGTGGATTTTCTGTACACAGAAGCACGGAGCGAACCATTGCTGACCGTTATGGCACCGTTGAGTTTAATGGATGTATGGAATGAATTGAATGATTCATGGAAGTTTAAAAGGCTTTCTTCTCCTTCTGTCCATATTACGAAAATATCATCAATATAACGATAATATTTGAATGGTTTGTGGTAGGGATGTCCCGATGCCCCTTTTTCAGGACCAAGTACAAGTACTTCCCCGCATGTACTTGCCGATACCAATTACTGATACTTTTTTTTAAAGGGACAGGTGACTGTAAATGATCCATAGTACAACTACATGTTATGTACTATGGATCATGATTTAACCTATTCATGTTAGCAGTGGAGAATTGTAAATCTATTGCTGGAGTGTAGTGGAGGTGTGTGCTGTAAATATGTACTACATATACAGTACACACGTCCAGTACACTATAGCAATAGATTTACAGCCAGCCCCGTCCCAGCTTCCCTCACTCCACAGTTTCACTCCGATCCCTGTTGCCTCACGCGGTGCCTCTCGTAGTCGGCGCTGGGCAGGATCGCTGCATCGCGTCTCGGTGCTCAGCTTGTGGGAGGCGCTCACAATTCTGCCCTGCTTAATGAATAGGTTAAATCATGATCCATAGTACATATACAGCACACATGTCCCGTACACTGCAGTAATAGAGTTACAATTATCCCCTGCTAATATGAATGGGTTAAATGATCCGCAGTACATAATAGTACATAACATGTAGTTGTACTACGGATCCTTTAACCTATTCATGTTAGCAGTGCAGAATTGTAAATCTATTACTGCAGTGTACGGGGCATGTGTACAGATAGAATGCACTGCAGCAATAGATATACAATTCTGCACTGCTAACATGAATGGGTTAAATGATCCGTAGTACAACTACATGTTATGTACTATTAAGTACTACGGATCATTTAACCCATTCATATTAGCAGGGGATAATTGTAAATCTATTGTTGCAGGGCATTCTATATGTAGTATAGAGTGCCCTGCAACAATAGAGTTACAATTATCTTCTGCTAACATGAATGGGTTAAATGATCCCTAGTACAGGGCTACATACAGATCATTTTAAATCCAGGTTAGCAGAGTATAATTGTAAATCTATTGTCTCCAGTGTATAAGCAGTGTGTACTCTATATATGTATTACATATAGGGTATACACTGGAGACAATAGATTTACAATTAGTCCCTGCTTTACAATTAGTCGCCCCCCCCCTCACTCACTGTGCTGTGGCGGGAGAGCAGTGACGAGTCGGCGCTGGTCCGGTGGGAGGAGCTCCAGGTGGGGTCCTAATTTAGCTGGCCCAGAGGTGACCCCACCTGGAACTCCTCCCGCCGGACCAGCGCTGACTCGCCGCTGTTCTCCGGCACTGAAAGACATCGTCGGCGAAGAGGAGCATCACGTCACTGCTGCTCCGGTGGCCGGCGCTCTGAGTGGGATCCTCTGGGCAGTCCCTGGGCACCTACATTAGGACCCCCACCTGGAGCTCCGCCCACAGCAGCGACGCTCCTCCGCTCAGCCTGCCCAGAAGACACCCCACCACGGAAGGTAACGTTAAAAAAAACAGCGCAAGCTTTGGCGCTATGCATCGGGGCATTGTCAAAATGCCTTGTATCGGGCCCGATTCCGATGCTAGCATCGGTATCGGGGCATCCCTAGTTTGTGGGGGTGAGTGGCTAGGAATCTGTGTTATAGGTCAGCCATGAAGAGATTGGCATATTGTGGTAACATTTTTGTGCCCATAGCTGTCCCAGTCATTTGTAAATAGATGTTGTTACTGAAATTGAAGTAGTTGTGCGCAAGTATGAATTCAATGAGTTTGGCGATGGTTTCACTATCATATTTTTGTGATGGGTATCATTGTGAAAGGTATCATTGCATACGGCAATACTCCCATTTTTTTAACATTTTTTTTGTTACATCTTGTCTACTGGATTAATACTGCTTACTCATTTACATTTCATGTACTGTATATGTTAAACTAGATATATTTCATGTTTTGTTCCTGGGTTTAGATATCCTTTAAGTTCAGTGAGCCTGTTATCTATAGTCAAGGAGTGGGAAGCCATTCTGTTGATTTGATCAATTCTCAGGTTATTTACTTAGAGCCACCTTTGCACCTTATTCCCGTCAAACTGATGGTAAGCATCGCCGAAATCTGCTCCAGCTCAAAATAACTGACTCTATTCCAGCTCAAAATAACTGACCCCCACATGTAGTAGGTGTAAAAGAGATCATCAACATTTAATGAACATGCTATGGTGATGCCCTAAACTCCTTGAATATTGGAACTATAATAAACACTTGAGAGAATATTCCAGATAAACAAAGATACCTAGAAAAATAAGAGCATGCGTGCTAGGATATCTGGAAAACATCCCACTAGATAAAGGAAGCACTATTTTAATATGAGCTTTATTTTGGCATCACAGATTAATTCTCTTCCATAATGGGTAAACCATCTTAACAAAACTCTTAGTTTGGAAAAATGTATATATGCTCATTGTGTTTGCCCCGAGAAATGTTTTAAAATATGGGGACAATGGTTAGATGCACCTAGACTAAGCACACTGGACCTTGTTAGAGTTAGAATCTGTTAGTAATAGTTGAATTAATGCATGATTTCCGATGTAAGCTAACAGGAGAGCGGCACATCTCTACATGTGTAGAATTTACTATAAGAAAGTCCCTTCTAGATTGCCTTTTCAGTCTATGGAAACATTTTTACTTTATTGTATTTAATGTATGGTCATAATTCTTTGGAACTGTCTTAAACTAACCTTGTACATGGCACATACACTCACCGGCCACTTTATTAGGTACACCTTGCTAGTACTGGGTTGGACCCCCCTTTGCCTTCAGAACTGCTTTAATTCTTCGTGGCATAGATTCAACAAGGTGTTGGAAACATTCCTCAGAGATTTTGGTCCATATTGAGATATCATCATGCAGTTGCTGCAGATTTGTTGGCTGCACATCCATGATGCGAATCTCCCGTTGCACCACAACCCAAAGGTGCTAAAAGGCTTCAGATTCAGATCTGGTGACTGTGGAGGCCATTGGATTACAGTGAACTCATTATGTTCAAGAAACCAGTTTGAGATGATGTGAGCTTTGTGACATGGTGCATTATCCTGCTGGAAGTAGCCATCAGAATATGGGTACTCTGTAGTCATAAAGGGATGGACATGGTCAGCAAAAAAATACTCAGGTAGGCCGTGTCGTTTAAATGATGCTCAATTGGTACTAACTGGCCAAAAGTGTGCCCTGAAAATATCCCCCACACCATTACACCACCAGCCTGAACCGTTGATACAAGGCAGGATGGATCCATGCTTTCATGTTGTTCACACCAAATTCTGACTCTACCATCTGAATGTCACAGCTGAAATCGAGACTCATCAGACCAGGCAATGTTTTTCCAATCTTCTATTGTGCAATTTTGGTGAGCTTGTGCGAATTGTAACCTCTGTTTCCTGTTCTTAGCTGACAGGAGTGGCACCCGGTGTGGTCTTCTGCTGCTGTAGCCCATTTGTTTTAAGGTTCCACGTGTTGTGCGTTCAGAGATAGTATTCTGCATACCTTGGATGTAACAAGTGGTTATTTGAGTTACTGTTGCCTTTCTATCATCTCGAACCAGTCTGCCCATTCTCCTCTGACCTCTGACATCAGCAAGGCATTTGCGTCCACACAACTGCCGCTCAATGGATATTTTCTCTTTTTCGGACCATTCTCTGTAAACCCGAGAGATGGTTGTGCATGAAAATCCCAGTAGATCAGCAGTTTTTGAAATGCACAGACCAGCCCGCCCGGCACCAACAACCATACCACATGCAAAGTCACTTAAATCCCCTTTCTTCCCCATTCTGATGCTCAGTTTGAACTTCAGCAAGTCGTCTTCACCACGTCTAGATGCCGAAGTGCATTCAATTGCTGCCGTGTGATTGGCTGATTAGCAATTTGTGTTACCAAGCAATTGAACAGGTGTACCTAATGAAGTGGCCGGTGACTGTATGTACAATGCAAATCTTGGCAATAAGAGTTGATAGAAAAAAAAAAAAACTACTTTTTTTTTTTTTTTTTT